CATTCCTCTCCATTCACTCCTGTCTAATACGCTCACGCATGCTTGCTGGAAGTTCAAGCCCCTCGCCCACAAAACCTCCTTTACTCCCTCCCTTCAACCTTTTCGAGGACGACCCCTACCCTGCCTTCCTTCCCCTACAGATTTATAAGCTCTCCATGTCATTCTACATTGATCCATTCTCTCTAAATGACCAAACCACCTCAACAAACCCTCTTCAGCCCTCTGACTAATACTTTTATTTACTCCACACCTTCTCCTAATTTCCACACTTCGAATTCTCAGCATAACATTTACACCACACATTGCCCTTAGACAGGACATCTCCACTGCCTCCAACAGCCTCCTTGCTGCAGCATTTATAACCTAAGCTTCGCACCCATATTAGAGTGTTGGTACTACTATACTTTCAAACATTCCCTTCTTTGCCTCCAAAGATAACTTTTTTGTCTCCACATATACCTCAACGCACCACTCACCTTTTTTCCTTCATCAATTCAATGAGTAACCTCATCCTTCATAAATCCATCTGCTGACATGTCAATTCTCAAATATCTGAAAACATTCACCTCTTCCATACTCCCTCTCTCCAATGTGATATGCAATTTTTCTTGATCAAAATCATTTGATACTCTCATCACCGTACTCTTATCTATGTTCACTTTCAACTTTCTATCTTTACACACTCTCCCAAACTCGCTCACTAACTTTAGCAACTTTTCTTTAGAATCTCCCATAAGCACAGTATCATCAGCAAAAAGTAACTGTATCACTTCCCATTTTGTATTTGAATACCCATAATTTAATCCCACCACTCTCCCCAACACCCTAGCATTTTCTTCTTTTACAACCTCATCTATAAATATATTAAACAACCATGGCGACATTACACATCCCTGTCTAAGACCTACTTTTACCGGGAAGTAGTCTCCCTCTCTTCTACACACCCTAACCTGAGCCTCACTATCCTCATAAAAACTCTTTACAGCATTTAGTAACTTACCACCTATTCCATATACTTGCAACATCTGCCACATTGCTCCCCTATCCACTCTATCATATGCCTTTTCTAAATCCATAAATGCAATAAAAATTTCCCTACCTGTATCTAAATACTGTTCACATATATGCTTCAATGTAAACACTTGATCTACACATCCCCTACCCATTCTGAAACCTCCTTGCTCATCCGCAATCCTACATTCTGTCTTACCTCTAATTCTTTCAATAATAACCCTACCGTACACTTTTCCTGGTATACTCAGTAAACTAATTCCCTATAATTTTTACAATGCCTTTTGTCCCCTACCTTTTATATAGAGGCACTATACACGCTCTCCGTCAATCTCTAGGTACCTTCCCTTCTTTCATACATTTAAAAAACAAAAATACCAATCACTCCAACACTATATCCTCCCTGATTTTAACATTTCTGTCATGACCCCGTCAGTTCCAGCTGCTTTACCCCCTTTCATTCTTCGTAATGCCTCACGCACCTCCCCCACACTCTCACCATCCTGTTCTTCACTACTAAAAGATGATATACCTCCCTGACCAGTGCATGAAATTACCGCCTCCCTTTCTTCGTCGACATTTAAAAGTTCCTCAAAATATTCCCATCATCTACCCAACACCTCCATCTCCCCATCTACTAACTCCCCTACTCTGTTTTTAACTGACAAATCCATTCGTACTCTAGGCTTTCTTAACTTGTTTATCTCACTCAAAAATTTTTCTTATTTTCATCAAAATTTCTTGACAGAGCCTCTCCCACTCTATCATTTGCTCTCCTTTTGCACTCTCTCACCACTCTCTTCACCTTTCTTTTACTCTCCATATACTCTACTCTTCTTATAACACTTCTGCTTTGTGAAAACCTCTCATAAGCTAACTTTTCTCTTTTATCATACCCTTTACTTCATCACTCCACCAATCACTCCTCTTTCCTCCTGCACCCACCCTCCTATAACTACAAACTTCTGCCCCACATTCTAATACTGCGTTTTAAAAAGCTATTCCAACCCTCTTCAACCCCCCCCCCTCCACTACTCATACCTGCACCAGCCCACATTTCTGCCAATAGTTGCTTATATCTCACCCGAACTTCCTCCTTCCTTAGTTTTACACTTCCACCTCTCTCTCACTTGTTGCCACTTTCCTCTTGTCCTATCTACCTTTTACTCTAACTGTAGCTACAACTAAATAATGATCCGATATATCAGCTGCCCCTCTATAAACTAAACATCCTGAAGCCTACCCATCAACATTTTATCCACAAATCAATAATCTAACAAACTACTTTCATTACGTGCTATATCATACCTTGTATACTTATTTATCCTCTTTTCATAAATATGTTCATTTATTTACCAAACCTCTTTCTACACATAGCTCAATTAAAGGCTCCCCATTTTCATTTACCCTGGCTTTACCCTTAAATCCCTCCCCCCTTTTTACCTTTTTTTGACCCCAACCAAAGTACCCCTTTTTTAAAAACCCCCCCCCAAACCCCCAACATTTT